GACTAAAGCCCAAGGACTAAAGCCCAAGGACTAAAGCCCAAGGACTAAAGCCCAAGGACTAAAGCCCAAGGACTAAAGCCCAAGGACTAAAGCCCAAGGACTAAAGCCCAAGGACTAAAGCCCAAGGACCAAAAGCCCAAGAACCAAAGCCCAAGAACCAAAGCCCAAGGACCAAAGCCCAAAGACCAAAGCCCAAGGATCAAAGCCCAAAGACCAAAGCCCAAGGACCAAAAGCCCAAGAACCAAAGCCCAAGGACCGAACTGCGATTGAAATACGGCAACATGTGCACAGTACCTGATGGCAGATTGTTACCACTCCCATACCTCATTCTGATGCTTCTCAGCCTCTCTCTCATAACTCTGCTGACTAGTTTCGAGGTCTTTCAGCATCTCAACATGCCGAAAGTCGGATTCCTCCAGCGCCTTTTCAGCCTCAGCCACTTTGCCCTCCAAATAGACTCTCTGATCACCAGCTATTGGGTGGAGATTAATATTTATACAGCACGTATAGCAAAACAGCTCACACAGTGTGCGTAAACCCAAGTGCAACCGGTACACTATGTGACACTTGCGCAGAGATGAAGTTGCGACGCACCAGAAGTGAAGCATGGGCAGACTCTTTAGTCCTGCACGCAGAGTGTTACTTTGAATGAGGTGTTATCAACCCAGTTCCATGCAATATGCGCTCGTTTGGAGTATACTACACTAGATGTACCCCATAGAATTAAACCGCATTCATAGCGCGTCTATACGTGAATTTAAGGTCGTAGGTATACATATACAACCATGCATATACCAGAAATTCTAAAGTAGGGCAGTAGTACGTATAGAGCTGCATCAGTTCACACACGCACATACACATCCAATAGACAATTTACCTCGAAATGACTAGTATCTAGTATGTGCGTCAAGCATGTGTAGTCCTGAAGTGCACCCTCTACAGTGCAACTGCAGGAGAGTGACTGCGTCTGTGCTCACGCAACTGAACATGAGGTTTACAGAATAATATGAATCTTTCACGGATCAACTTGGTAGGAAGACATAGCCATATATAATCTCTATTGATCTCCATTGCTCATGCGGACATCATCTAGGATGCGGGTTAAGATATACGAACACGGATTGGTTGATATCAGAATAGTACCACCACCTCCACAGAACTATACACCACGCCATGATTGGAACAGAAATATCAAAGTGAGCCAGGTGACACAACTGACAGATATCAAATAATAAATATCAGTTGTCATAAATGTGCTTGGTGATGAGGAACCACCACATATCCGCCACACAAAACCTACGTACCTGCCAGCAGCTGTTCTTGTAGCTGTGTGACCCCATCCAGTAGCTTCAGCGACTTTCGCCTCCTCACCTTGGGGCTTTCCGTGAACGATTGCTGGTCCGCTTGTAAGCTGTAGGCCGAGTGTGTGCGGCGCAGCGAGAATTAATAACTACGAGAGACTTGTGGGATACACTAACCGAATAGCATGTAGCTGTGCGCTTGATTTCGAGAGTGGCTTTGCATACCATGCGCGTGTACAACTGGGCACCTTGCTAGCCCTGCACATACTGTATTCATCCCCTTTCAGGGATATGGCGTAAGAGATAGCCAATACAACTGGAAATAAGATACACTTATAACTCACACGAACAAAGAGTCGTTGCACACATGTGAACGTATCATTCATACCTCGCAAAAACAGGTTCATGGACCTGGTCTGGCATAGCTGAATTAAGAGATCAATGTATTGGCCGGAACACACATGCCCACACTGCTATGCAGGGGATTTCGCCACAAAGATCGCACACGCACACGCACACACACACACACACACACACACACACACACACACACACACACACACTATATATATATACT